TTATTATCAGGATTAACATTTTGATTAATGAAAGCAAATATTTATGCGCTAAATTGATTCTACAGATATTTATGCTAGTTTTATCTTAATTTTAGAATTAGACTGCTTAAGTAATTCCGTTTTATTTATGTTTCATCGATATTTTATAGCAATGTTACAGTAAAGCATTATGGCAATCGATAGAATTATGCCCGAATTAATTCTGAATTAATATTGATATACAATATTGAATTTGGCTATCTTTGCTATTTACCAATTTGCTAGATTATGGTTACGTAAAATATATTATTTGAACTGTATTACGATATCGAAGTTCATGTAAATGTAGAGATTCACTTTAGATTTATTAAATATTCAGTTTTTCTAACTGATTTTGGCAAATTAGGTATACGTATAATATCATGGCCAATATTATATTTTAATAAATTTAGTAACCGATTAATGGAATCTAATATTTTTACTGATGTAGTATAATATTAATTTTTACAAAATTGTTTCCAATGTAGCTCTATTATGAAATAGAAATAATCTAAGGTAGACATACAGTACAATGATAGATACTACTAGCATCTTTTCGCGAAATGAGATTTAGTGTTGATTCTTAATAGTAATCGAATTTCGTGTATGGCTTTATTGCTTCTGGATAAAATGATTATTTTATTCTATTGATGTTCCATAAAGGACTGTAAAAGCCAATTAGATTTACGGGAATTAATTCTTAGTCTTTTTCTAGGGAAGGAGAATTTGTTGTTACTGTTTAAACATCATTAATTAAATTAAGATAACGGATTCATTATTGTTGTTTCTACTTTTACTTTTTATTGTTCTATTATATAACTGCCTAACCAAGATGATTGAATTAAAGTATTGCGCGTAAAAGACAACATAATTAGTTCATGTAAAACATTAGAGCTACTGATGCTGTAAAACTAAAAGATTAATTGCAGTTTACGACACTGCGAGAATGTTATCATGACAGTAATCTTGTAATTGATTTCGTAACAATCATTAATCAAGCAAATATTAACTAAGAAAATAAAAGCTTCTTTAATCATATTGGAAGCTAATTCGAACTTTTTAGCCTACCTTACCATCGAATAATATGATGACTTAGGAAGAAGTCGCGTGGGTTAAGGTTAAGATTAAAGCAGCGTTTAAAAAGAAATCTAGTCAACCTTAAATTTATCAATAGGCTGCAATTTACCGTTAATCTATTAATAGTATTTAAGTTCGCTTCGTTTGCAATACAGTTTTTAACGCTGTGGATATCTATTTCAACTTTGGTAATGATTTACTTTTATTAAATGGAAGCAATTCAGCTGCCGCCGGGGTAAAATAGTAGTTTGGGGTGATCAAATTCTATTTCGTTAGTAAGATTGTAAGTTCTAAATAAAATTCAATGAATGAGTTTGTCAACTAAATTGATTGCGTTTAGCAGAGGCTATGCTTACTGTTAAAATATTTTGGCTCAGCTATTTCACTTCAATTCGACAATTCATTCCTAAACGATTTATCTAATTTTAATGTTACTGTCACAAGGTCGTCTTTGTAATCGACTAAACTATTTTACTGGCTACTTAACGAGCTCCTACTAACTATGGAGATAAATTAATGCTGCGAATTAGACTAACTACTGTGACACAGCACTATATGCGGCTAGAAGTTTGTTTAGCTTTTGAGTCTTTATTCTAAGTGTAAACAAAAGTATAAACCTTTGTATACGACTAAGAGATAGTAATTAGTCAACTAAAATGTTACACTGGCTTATATACATTTGCCATAAACTAATGGAGCATTGTTAAAATGTGCCGGTTGTACAATTTACTTATATTAGTATTAGAATGAGAGGTAAATTTATAATATAACATATTACAGAATCTAACAGTAAACAACCTTAATTAATATAAATCAATTAACGATCAATTAAGACCTAGAGAATCAGTTCCACTAAATCGTTTAAGAGATTAAAATTAATAATAACTCGATAATAAGGTTGGTCTGAAATATCATAAACATTAGATCTTACGGGGTGCTATAGCCATACCATAAAAACTGCAGGTTAAACTTGGAATATTTTAAATAGTGCCTAGTCTATTTAGATAGTATGCTTTACAGATATTTTCTATTAGGAAATAGAATCACAACTATTTTAATTTAACCAATCCGATGTGCTAAAGGATTGCAGCGATGAAAGATGGAATACTCGAATATTCTGGAGTCTTTCAGTAACAATTCTAATTTTGATAGTGATATAATTTATGTCTTAAAGACACCAACGCTATCTTTGAATGGAAATTCTAAACTGAAAATGCTCATAACAGATTCAAAAGATTCTTAACAGTGTGAAAACAATGCACAGTGTAATAAGCAACAGTGTACGCATGTACATTTACATTAGTATTTTATAGCAGATGCTGCTTGGTAAAGTATCATATGCAATAATTATTTTAGGTCAGCGGTATTTATTCAATGTCCGCTTCTAAATACGCGAACTTTTATTTTCTTTCTACTCATATAAAAGTGTAATCTTACCCACTTATGTTTGCACAATTAGTAGATACTAATCGAGTACCCGTTCAAATGAACGAGAACGTATACTACACAACGCATTACACTTAGCAAAATTCAGAGCTAGGTTATCAGACCATGTATGAATCCCTTCTTAGTGTGCGATAGGTAGCTCACAATTGAATGATGCATCAAGTCGACAGAGCACTGTAAATAAATTATAATACCATTTGTTTATATTTTATTTAGTGAATGATAATTATATAATTATAATCAAATATAAGCAATTCACATACACGTTGTGTGCGCGTGCATAATCTTTTGACTTAAAATAAAGTTCATGAATTCAGTATACTCGATTGTATAGTGCTAAAAAAATTAGACAAGAACATAAGGTTTATTATAAAGTGAATTCTCGTAAATGCCATGTTTCACTATCCAATTTTTTCAAAACTGTACATCGAAAATTGCATTTTATAGTATTTCCAAATACTGTTGTATTTGTAGATTTGATTTTTGAAATTCTTCTAAAATTGATTTACGTTATGACGTGAAAATGATATTTCGAAATTTGACTTAAGGCAAGTAGCAGTCAGAGCTAGTGACATAGCAAGTGACATAAATTAATAAGTTCATTATGTCATTAACCGAATGAATTAAAAACATATACCACCAGAATACGTCAACTCATGCCTACCACTGCTTACAATAATAAAGGTTTAGATTGTCGTGTGCAGCAAATTATGCAAAAGTAAGTGTCAGTAGTATGTAGTAACCGTCAGACTAACCTATTGAGAACAGCAGTTTTTTAAGTATTAAAAATGATCAATTAGTATTCGTTTTGTCAGCAAAATGAAATGCAATTTGCTGTAATATAGTTGAAGTAATTAACTAACTTATCTAGTATATGACTTAGTCTATTGAAAATAGCAAGCTATCAGGTTCGACAAATATTTCTTTTGCTATTTATTTTACGCCATCAGTAGAATAGAATGCATTACGCATCTTTAACATGTAGCTACCATACGAGTATATGCATAGTGATTAGTCCAATCTTGGTCGATAAATAAGAAAATGTAGTTGTTATGTTGCTGTTACACAAAATTTGTAACAGGAGAAAATTAAGCTACTACAGCACTACGAGTCTACTGTCAGGGTTGTCCTCCCTAATATTTGGCTACAGTGCGCCTCTAAATACTGACGATCTCCAATCGTCTAGAGAAAGAGTGACCCCATTAGTCTCTCTTAGACAAAACTACAGTAAAACCTAAAGTTATTGAGAAGCCAGTCAATTTATAGTAAGTCTACATAAACAGTACAGTACAGTATAACTAGTGCGATTAATTATCATTTGATGGATTACATTATATAACTATACCGTTATCTATCAAAAATATGTGAAACGTCATAGCTAAGTTACTATCAACACATTCTTAGATAAGTTGTCGGATAAATTATGTTACGACAGCTACACAGAAGTTATTCTGTAATACTGTTGCTCATCCCGTTTTCGATGTAGTATTCGACTGTGAACAGTATAGTTGCAACGTGTTGAGTTATTTCTGTCAAGTTTATCAAGTCAAAAGGTAAAATATACTAAGGCCGCACCTTATATTTGTTACTTAAATTACATTACTACTATACCACCTCATGTAAGAGCGCAACTAGTTGTATAGCTAAATTATTGCCTTTTGCTTATAATATTCGCTATTATTTTAAAGAGATACGTTGGGCATGCTATACCTATTAATAACATAATTATTAATGAGCACTAGTATATTTCTCCTATACAACTAAGGGTAATCAAGAGATTAACAGCTTTCAGACCGAGTCATAGCCTAGCCTCCTTTGTTAGGTAATTACTTTTAGTATAGCTAGCATACACAGCGATAATATAGGAGTCGGCATGCTATCACCATCGTTGTCAATCTATATTCCACTGTTGCAATGCAGAGTAAGTATTCGAGCGCTTAAAAGCGATAATTAATTGATTCTGATAGAAGGGAGAACATGATATAGCCATACAAAACGTTGCAGTTAGCAAGATTTGGCTATCGCACACAATCTGGAAACTACTTTAGCTATATGAAATCAGTATCAATTTCGCAAGTTTTTAAGGGTTACTGAGCTAATGTCTTCAATCTTTGTATTAGAGAAACTTGTTATTTTCAATTGTTGAGCATGCAATTCGAGTGATAAAATAAGATATATTTTAGTACATTATCCACCAAATATCATTACATTAAAACAACCGTCAGTTACCATCGTAGGTAATCACAGCCATTCCAAAAATGAAACTAAATATGGTACAATTTAAAAAATCACTAACTTGACATTTAAAAACTATCTTTGCTTAGAAAATGAACATCATATCTGAGAATAAACATAATAGATCACTGAAAGTAACGAAATCATTTAAGAAAAGTTATCAATTAATATGAATTATATGGTCAGGTATTCAATGTCCATAGTAAATAGCAGCCTTCACTCATTTACATTCCAAATTCATACTCGCAAAATCCTGGACCGGTAACTGGCTCAGCTCGAATACCTCGTCTAATTAGAATTTTACATCTAAAATCATGTATTCTTGGTGTAGCTAATGCGATGCTGTTCACATTTTTGGCACTCCATAGTCGTTCAGCAGTTCCACTTGCCCGCGGCCATACGCGGGATATTAGATTGGTATCGTCAACGTATTCGGTCCAAATACAAGATTCGCCGCCAATGATTAGGTCGTATTGTTTTTGAGTACCATTAAAAGAAAAGGGCTCGCAACTATAGTACTATATATATTATATTCGAATAGTTTATTAGATTGTAAAATATCAACAAAATTTAACAAAATATCAGGATTCTGTAGAAAATTTCTAACTAATAAATCATACCCTCTTCCAGTCAGGTCCGTAAGCGTAAATATCCAAGTACCAACATGAAGATAAGATAGTAGTAAAATTTCTCTTTGTTACCCTATCTAATTCAGCTGGAAATCCGCCTTTGTAAACGTTGACTACCGTAGACGGCATTACCTGTAAATAATTAAGAAATTATTATTTACGCTTGCTACAATACAGGATAATAACACTTCGGCAAGATGAGATGCGAGGGGTTGTACCTTCACGTTGTTATCTACAACAGACTGCCAAATAATGTAGTCATAGCCTAAATTGGAAGCAATTCCCAACAATCTGTTCACGTTAAGAAAAAATTTTATGAGACCATATTCAGATTGTATAACATATCTATGTTATCTATGCATTAGCATAAAATGCATTATTCCTATGAACAGCACCTGGACTCGTAGTAGGATTCCAATAGAGAAATATTATTGCCTAATCCTTTCTCTACCATCCAGTTTCTAACATCAGGGTTACTTTTCCTATATTATAAAATTTGCGTTTGCAAAAATATTTGTAGTCACCGACATTGCTATATGCACTATCAAAGTCTAAACAGTACGTATCTTTCATGCATACAAACCAGCAATTAAGTAAGACTTCATCACCACCTAGATGGATATATTTATCAGTAAATCTCTTATGAACTTCAGACAATAAAGTTTTCATGAATTCGTAATTCTCAGGAAATATAGGATTGATTGGGCCAGTTTTGCTGTTGAATGAAATAAGACTATTAGTTCCAGAAAGCCAGCATGTTCCGATTTTCTCTTTGAGATAACCAACATGTTGTATTTTGGTTATTCTCAAAAGAGCAAAATAGCTCATGTCCAAACTATGATTATATAATAAACGGAGTCCACTGTCATAAACTAATAAAGGAAGTGGCCCTGACATACCCGTTAGGCAAAAATCCAGTGTAACACTTTGTTAAAAGGTTTGGCTTACTTCGACCCCAACATCGAGTATGTCCCTGTTTTAAAGAATGTTATTTATTAAATGTAAACATTTTAAATGTATACTACTTCGCTGGGCTATCTAATACAGATTCATGTCAGTGCTTACCGGAGTATCAAATTCAGGAATTACTCTTAGACCACGATATCTACAGTACTTGATAATTTTGGTAATATCATCAGCAGTATAAACATGGGTTTTAGGATTAAAGGATCCCTAATTGACAAATGTAAATAGCATGTTTTTATACCGTAGAATATTAATCATTGCTGATGAAGAAAATAATACCATTTAGCTCAAACCAATCAAAATACTTTATTTGATAAATTGCGTACAGTAACAAACGACTCAACCTTATCAATAAAATATTGACAGCCTACCTTTGCCGTAACTTCTGGTAAGACTTTTGAATCATATGGGAAGGATTCGTCGTCAACGATATGCCAGTGAAATACGTTATACTTATTATAAGCCATAGCATCCTATGTGGAAAAATTGACCGGTTAGCTATGTCTTTTGAAAAGAAGCTTAGTTAAATGGTTTCAATAGTAGTAATTAGAAACATTTTTCATCAATTCATCTTTATCGGTTCCTAAATGTCATCAATGAGCGTCCTAGATCTAACGTAAACTTACAATATGTTCGTAAAGTACTTCCATATCCAAGAAATGTCTTGCTGTATCGACAAGCATACCACGGTGTTTAAATCGAGGAAAGTCGATAACTTTAGTTTCGTTAATCTGGAACTAACATTCAGATCCCCAAAAATCACATTAACTCATATTACGCGTAAATATTAAGTACAGTATATAACGTATTACAAAGTCTTGAAGAGATGTTAAAAGCGAAGCCTCCACTACAGCATGAAGCCATGAATAGTTGTAAAACTACTTAAGAATAGCTAAACTTACCATGCCCGATTCAGTAGGTTCAACAAGTTGACTAAAAGTTTCCAATCCTACAAAAAGATAATCTTGTTTAGCCTTAAAATCGTTTCATTCCCCATTTTAAGAGTTAGCTATGGCGTGGATATTTTTATGTTATGTTGGACAGCTTTCTAGCTGTACTACCTCTTAGAGCTCCCCAAACTTCGTCAGCATCTAATGTAGCTCCTTTTGCCGTTACCGTCAAAGTATCTACGATCAGAAATAAGTATCAGGCATTAGTGAATTAACTTAATAAAAGATCGAAGTTATTGGCATGGGCGTCGTGTGGACTCCTATTAATGTACTGTACAGGTACTACTCATACTGTACACACGCACAGTATTAACTGTAATTCGCTGTTCATCATCAATACACCACACTACTGTATGAAACAATGATAAACACATCGACATTGAATAAAGAGAGTAAACGTTGAATCGAATCAATTCCAAAATCAATCATTACAGTTTTCCACAGAATCCAGATTTAATTCTTCCTTTGAACTATGGACGTTTACTTTCAAACTGGTAAGACTACCACTACTAGCAGTAACGTTGAAAGATTCCGAAAGTTGTGGTTGAATTTGTTTCCCTAATGGAATGAAGCTTATATTCATGTATCTTTCGAATGCCTGATGTAATATATCGCTCTTGCTGCTCGATTGAAAGGTAAATTTTTTTGAATTAATTGTGAGTACAGTCGAGGTTGTTGACATCATTTGAGGCATCGGCCATACCACACACATGGCTGGATAAGCCACCAATATCAACAGAATCAACGGTTTGAACCAGTGAATCGTTTTCATCATTGCCATTTTGATTTTATGGTACACAGACAGTATAAGCAGTTTAAAACGTATCGACAGCGTCTTGTCTTGGATATTTAAGTTAAGTTATTACTTTGCAGTATGCGGACACACAGACAGAATGATGGACTAGCAAAGATACAGTATACTGTCGTACTGTACACTGTACAGCACAGTACCGTACCGTACTGTACAGTACGTACAGTACGGTACAGTACAGTACTGTACTGTACAGTACTGGACTTGGTGCACTGTGGTGACTGTGCTGTAGTGGTCTACTGTACAGTATGGTTACGATTCGTTACGATCATGTGATTCTCACGCATTTTACAAGTACCAGTGCAGCTATGCTACATACTGTACACTGTAAAGTACAGTACCGTACTGTGCAATAACAAAAATTTTGTCAAGTACAGTACTGCATACTGAATGTACAGTACTTCTTACTGTACTGTACTGTACTGTACTGTACTGTACACTACAGTACTGTATAGTATTAACTGTAAAAAACAGTATGAATGTAGTAGTGTTAAAAATGGCTCTAGCTGAACCATAGAGTTAAGTCAACTCTATGAGCTGAACCTAACCATACGGACAGACATTTCGAACTAAAAACCAACTAACTACCGTATTTTCGACGTTGCGATCGAAGAAATCCGTCCATCTGAAGTATAGAGTACTTCAGTATACTGAAATGGGCAGTAGAAGATCACAATTACAGTGCCGGGGCGTGGCGAGGCCCTCTCAAATGGTTGAAAGATATTTAGTTATAATGTTGCCTTAATGTTTCTTATACAAACTATTGGTCGCTGTTACATGTTTGGTCGCTTCAACCATTTTACAAGTCACGTCGTAATATCGGTCTATACAGGATCACGTCATGGACTATTTTTAGGCAATCTTCCTAGCACATCTAGGAGTCCAGAACAGCCTTGCTCGTCGTTAGTGTTTTGTCTTAAGTTAAGGAATTAAAGGGCAAAAAATTGAGGGGTATCCTTTTTCCCGGGGGGGGGGGGGGTGGGGAAGAGGCGGAAAGTAGAGAATACTCTCTGGTCTTGTATGTATCTGCTATAATATGTGCTCAATTCATTGGTTCCTTGCCAATGAGAGAGTCAGTAATTTACAGCATATGCCTAAATAAAAGAGAACCTTTTACATCGATTTAATATAGAAAAATAACTTTTATTAACTAATTATCGTTAATTAAACTGGAAGGTATTGTTGAGAAAGAGAAAATTGGACTAAAATTACGAATTTCTTTCCCAAACGGGTAACCGTGAGAAACTGGATAATTTATTCCGCACTAGTCAGATTTTCCATACCTTTGCGACGACAACGCTCATTTCTTTGAATTTGGATAAGTTCCGAGAGTATTCAATTGATGTTTATCTACAAGTTATGTGCTTGCTTTGAATTTAATTCCCGTTCATTTCAACGGGTAGTCTGCTAGTAATTTTAATAGTAGTATATCTTGATATATACTCTTAGATCCTCGCCAACTTCCCGGACAAGCTATGGATGGCAAAATAATCAGATGCCTTTTTCGGATATGATTCAGGTAAAGAGTGAACTAATTGTAACTCTAGAATCTGCTAGAGGCATAGAACCTTAGAACTTTGTTGCCAGTGCTGTTCTGCAAGAATACATTCCATTCGCTACTTTTACAAATATTACATGTAAAAGATAATTAAACTCGGTTACGCAGTACATCGACTGTAGAATGACAGAGTAGCTAACTTGTTTTAATATTTTGCCACTTAAGCTTGTGATTGTAGACTACTATCATACTGTCAGTTATTCCTTAAAATTACCTAGATGCCAATATTATTACTTGCGATGAATTACAATATCGTACTTACTAAATTATCATTAGTTATATGTTCTCAAGTATACTGTTACTATTTATTTTTATTTTATTTCCATAATGACAACCACAGCTAGAAAGTGGACGATATTATTAAAAGAAAGATATAGCAGGTACATGTTATTCAGTCTCTATTATCGTTACCAACTACATCCATTTATTGTGCTGTTCTTCTATAAGGATCAAACGCAAGTACTGTATACGGGATTATTAGATTTAGGTATATAGCTAGCAATCACTTTCAAACCTACTTATAGCTTTCAATCAAGTAATAAATACTGCATATGTATTGCTCTATACTGTTCTTATCTAACATGTATATTAGACCAGCAGAAAGTATCAAAACTACTTACAATCTTTCGTTACCCTATAATAGTGATGGGGGGGGGGGTAACGAAAGATTGTAAGTAGTTTTGATACTTTCGGATGGTCTAAAATGTATACAATAGATCTTACAACAATTGTATCGTCATTAATACTTGTTACCAAAATTGCTTATGCTACTACTATGTATTTTCTTCAAATAAATTTTCTCTGGAATAATTGAGATATAGAAAATAATCATAAATTTTTAGATTATAATTAATTTTTGTTCACTTAATATACACGTATGACAACTTAACGTCATAATAAGTTTTAAACTTCTACGTATATGAAAATATTATTGTTATGTGTAATAACCGTTGCTAATTGCTAATTGCAAATCGATACAAAGTAAAGTTTGTTGTTTACGGACAAGCATGTAATTTTCGTAGATGATAAAACGGGTTTTGTATTGTGGACTTTATTGCTTTACCATAAAAGCAGATACAACGACAAGGTCAAAGACATAACTTAATACAAAACTCAAAAAAGCTGTCATCAATGCAAATGCACGTAGAAGCCACTTTGAGCACAAATTGAGTCCGGTAGTGATTTACAACCGCATGGCCAAATTTATCGTTAAAGTAAAATCAAATTAGGTAACAGTAAACGATACGGAATCTCTTCGTGACAATAGGCAATTATCTCCATATAAATTAAAGTTGTAATACTCCATTAGCAAGTAATATTTACGATATGCAACAACGGCCAAAATATATTATATGAATGATAATTACGGTAGACTAAAGAAGTTAAATTTCCCAAGCTAATTAAAATCTGAAAATTTATGATTAGCATCAGAATCTATATTAATTCGGAAAGTTCTGAGCTTATCCAGTATAACATATGTGGATAATTAATAATCTTAGTCTTCAAAAAAATAATTAGCAACGCATGAAGAAGTTATTATCTCACTACTAGATAGAAAATTTAGCGTAGAATTGTGATAATAAAGTATCGCCTTATATTGCAATATTTTTTTCATGTATCTACTTATAAGTAAGGAATTCTTTTATTATATTATTAATAATACAGAGATCAATAGATTTAATTACCTATGATATTAATCCCAGTAGCTACATAAATAATAAAGAAAAGACATATATCTTCTTCTTCCCCAGAATTTAATTTAAGGCTAATGAGATACATGCAATTAGTAAATTTAAAATCATTTCAAGAGATGGAATTTTCTTTTATCTAAAGTTGAGTAAAAATTATAATGCAAAAGAAGTAGATAAAAAAATATCAGTTCTTTGCTGTCTGTAAATTCTAAATTACTATTGGTAAAGAAGCTGTTAGATAAGCTGTCGTTGTCAACATGTTATGTAAAAATAAATTAGATATAATTTAAAAATAATATCAAAATCTGGGGCTGTTGACAATTAAAGGTGTAATATATGTAATATTTGCAATAGTTCGAGTATATTGATTTCTGCTTTACAGAATGTAATACTAATTGTAATTAAAGAATTTTATTCTCATGCTAAGTTCTGTAAGTCTTAATTGATGTTGTTTGCAATCGTTATACTGTAATAAAGTTAGATGACGTATTTAAGCAGCTATGCTTTTCTGTTACTGTTGTTCTAGCCCTTTTTTCTAAGATCTGCTGTTGTAAGAAGTTTTCCTTGTCTGTCAGAGCTGTTATATTGTTACGTAGTATCGCAATCGGTATAGAATCAGTAATAAAATCTGCTATTATGAAATTACTTGTATGATCTAAACGCTAATTACAGTTAGTACGACAGGTTTTGTCACACTATTCTAGCAAGGAGAAGACCATCTGCTTGATATTACCAATAAATTTTGTGCTAGTTTAACATTCAATGTGATTATACTGCAATAATAAAAATCATTTATGTATTTCATTTGTTTAAATAAGGATAAGGGCGGATCGAGTTCTAAAAGTATCGATTTCGTAACTTACTTCCGATGAGCCATTAATTGCTACTTTATGGATAGTTCATATATCAACCTTTCAAACTGCTTTGTAATACTGGTATTACTCATCATTTTTTTTTGATTTCTGACAGTAATCTTTGCACATTAAAGATTCTGGCTAATCAATATTTGCACTGAAAATAATAAAAAGGTANTTCACTTATAATTAAT